CTGCTCTGACTCTTCCCCTGCTTGGTCTCGCACAAGATGGCAGCTCTGAGGACAGCTGAGTGTCTTGAATTAGAACGCAATGGATTTCTTGCTTCTGCTACAAATCCCCTAGCTGTAAGCCTTCCAACCTTCTAAATATTCCTTTATATATGGTTCAGAGTTCTAGCACCATCCCCTGAGCCTGCTTGGTCTGGTATTCTATGTTGTTGCTGACGGAGCTCTTCACTGCACTTCTACCTGATCTTCCATCTTGTTTGTTCTTGTTGAGTGTTTTTACCAGTAATGGATATTGTATTTTTTCAAAGGCCTTTTCTGCATCAATTGAAATGATCATGGGGTTCTTTTCCTTTGTTTCATCTACATGGTGGATTATGTTGAATGTTTTTTTAATACTGAACCATCCTTGCATCCCTGGAATGAATCCCACTTGGTCATGAGGTATCATTTTTTTGATATGTTGTTGAATTCTATTGGCTTAGAGTTTGTTGAGAATTTTTACATCCATGTTCATAGTCATTCCCAGCACAGTAAACTATGTGATTGTCAGATTCAAAATGGCCAATACAAGTCCATTTCAGCTCACTAATGCCTAGGATGTCGAAGTTTATATGCTCCATTTTATTTCTGACAATTTCCAATTTTCCTAGATTCACACTTTGTACATTACATGTTCTGATTATTAATGAATGTTTACAGCTGTAGAGGACTTAAAATACTTATTGATGAATATAAAACACCACAGACTTCTGTATGGGTTGCAACTTAATGTTAAGTAAACAAAAATCTTCACTACTGAACCAATAAATAACATCCATATAAATGGAGAAAAGATTGAAGTTGTTAATGACTTCATTTTGCTTCGATCAACCATCAACACTCACGGTAGCAGCAGTCAAGAAACCAAATGATGTATTGCATTAAGCAAATCTGTTGTACAAGACTTCTTTGAAGTGTTTAAGAGTAAAGAAGTCACTTTGAGGACTAAGGTGCACCTGATGCAAGCCATGGTATTTTCAATAACCTTATATACATGCAAAAGTTGAATAGTGAATAAAGAAGACTGAAGAAGAATGGATGCGTTTAAGTTATGGTGTTGGAGGAGAGTATTGAAAGTACCATGGACTGCCAAAAGAACACATAAATCTGTGTTGGATGAAGTACAGCCAGAGTGCTCCTTGGAAGCCAGGATGGTCAGACTTGATCTTTTTTACTTTGGACATATTGTCAGGACAGGAGGGACCAGTCACTGGAGAAGGATATCGTGTTTGGTAAAGTGGAGGGTTGGAGAAAAAGAGGAAGACCCCCAATGCGATGGATTGGCACAGTGACAGCATCAATGAGCTCAAGTGTATCAGCAATTGTAAGGTTGGCCCAGGACTGGGCAGTGTTTTGTTTTGTTGTCTATAGGGTCACTATGAGTCAGTACTGACTTGATGGCCCCTAATAAGAACAATATGTTCATGAAGCATTTGGGTCTATAATTTTCTTTCTTTTTTTTCTTTAATCTTATATTGAGGTGTACAAAATAAAAAATAATTAAATAAACAGTATGGATGTAGAAGTTGGGGCAAGAACAAGCTTTCTTTTGTGACTGCTGGCAGCAGCTGGTGGTAACCAGAAGCTCCGAGAGGAATGTGGGCAACCTAACAAAACAAAGAGGAAAGGGAATAGTAGGGAACAAGATGAGAGAACAAGATAAAAGGAGGGAACAAGATGGAAGAGTGAACAAGACCAGTGAGAGGGGAAGTGAAGAGGGTTAGGAGAAAGGAGAGATAGGAAGTGGAAACCTGAACAAAGGAAAAAGTCAAGAAAGCCCAGAAAAGTGGAGAGAAGGAGGGAGGGGGAAGACCTTGACGAAGACTAGGCGGGTGGAATAGACTAGGTCAGCCAAGTAGGCCAACAGGTTGATGGCTGTTAGGATGGCGATAGCCAGGCGGCGGTCCCAGGTACAGATGTAGTAGACATGTGACCGGCCACAGCTGACATCCTTAGACCGGCGGGGCTGGCCTCCATAAAGCTCGTTGAACTGGTAGAGGGGCCAGATGACAAGGGCAGTGGAGTAGAGGATGACAGACAGCAATGCCAGGCCTGAGAGGAAGCTGGGGAAGGGGATGGGCAGGGCATTGGTGCAGTCACCCAAGTTCAGCAAGATGGCCACAGAGGCCAGGATGAAATAGATGGCATACATGGCCACACACCACTCCAACACTGTCTGGTGCTGGTACAGACTGGGATCGCTGATGAAGGTGAAGATGATGCAAGCCATGAAGGTCTCCAGCACCTTCAACAGTCCGGGCACGGTGGCCATGTAACCGGTGATCTTGCCAGGCCAGACCCAGGTCCAGGTCACTTCAAAGGCATAAGCCAAGAAAGCTATACAGGAGAGGGAGGTGGCCGCAATGGCATGGTCCCAGGCATAGCCATGGGCCAAGAATTGGACGTACGTGGTAGGGTAGATGATGGAGGTGGACAGGCAGAGGAGGGCGGCATAGCAGGTGAAGGTGATGGGGAAGTTACGCCAGGACAAGGGGAAGCGGAACTGTAGCCCAAACACCTCCACAATGAGGATGATCAACATCATCGAGAAGCAGAAACACCAGGTGAACATGGACCAGTTGCCCACTGGCCCCTCCCAGATGCCCATACTGGCCACTAGCGAGAAGACAATGCAGGTGGATAGCAGCTGTAACAGGTGGAGGAGGCCCAGGGGCTGGGTCAATGCCCGAGGGGACCCCACGATGGTGGGGGAGCCCAGACCCGAGGATGATGAGGTGGTGGTGATGGTCGTTTGGGTCACGGTCACCGGCATGGCAGCGGTCTTAGCTCAGGACCCAGACAGAGAAAGACCTGGTTGTGTGATTGGATTAAGTCAAACACCTGGAAAAGGTATAATTTTCTATTTTATAAATGATGTCTTTGCCCGGTTTGGGTACAAGGGTTATACTAGCTTCATAAAAGGTATTTTGGAGTTTTCCGTCCTTTTCTATGTTCTGGAATAGTGTGAGTATAACCGATGTTAACTCTTCTCTCCCTCAGCACCATTCTTGTCTCCTCATCTTCCTCCCTGTCCTTTCATCTCTATCCTTGGTCCTTTACCGTCCTCTCTGTCCCCTCATCCTCCCCTGTTCCCTCATCCCCCTTCCTGTTTCCTCCTCTCCCTCCTTGTCCCCTCATCCCTCACCCTGTCTCCTCATCACATCCCTGTGTCCTCATCCCACCTTGTCCTCTCATTCCCCTCCTTGTCCTCCCACCTTCCTCTCTGTCCCCTCATTCCTCTCCATATCCTCTCATCACATCCCTGTCTCCTCACCCCTCTCCTTATCCTCTCATTCCCTTCCATGTCCCCTTATTCCATTCCTGTCTCCTCACCCCACTCCTTGTCCTCTCATTCCCATCCCAGTCTCTTCATCTCCCTCCCTGTCCCCTTAACCCCCTCCACGTTCCTTCAGCTCCTTCCCTGTCCCCTCACTCTTCATCCTCTCTCGTAATCCTCCAACCCCCTCTCCTTCTGCTGGATCCTCTCCTCTGGCTTGGTGACTACTGCTCCATCATTCCCCTCCTTAGGGCCTGTGACTGCTCCTTCTCCAGCCAGCTCTCTCTCCCAGCATTCCCTCTGCTCTTCACCACCTCACCTGCATTCACTTCTTGATGGATCAGATCCCTCAGCCCCTGTTCCTTCAGGAAGCATGTGTGCATCTTGAGTTTTTTTGAAGCTGAGTGGGGGAAGCTTCCAGGCCCACTTGGGGTGGTGTCAGGGACACATAGACTGGCTGGCAGCAGAAGATCCCTGGCCAAAACCATTTGGGGAGACAGGCTAGAGTTCATGTCCTGACCTACCCAGGCCTGTGGAGGCACCTCTTACCCTTGCATTCTCTTCCCCACCCAGGCACTGATCAGAGAGGACCGGACTGGACAGTGTAGGCAAAGTAAATGGGCTGTGGGAGCGGGGAGGAATTGTCTGTCCAGCTGCCCAAGCCACCCCGACCCTGTTTAGCCTTCTGAGGCTACGCTCCTGCTCTTTTTTTTTAAAGACAAAACGAAGCGCTTTCTTTTGGACTCAGGGAAGAGGGGATTTGATCTTGTCACTGAAATCCAAGGGGCTCATGTGTTAAAGTTTCTGCTCCGTGTCTATTTCCTCCTCCTCAGGAGGCTTTGTGATTGCTGGGTGAGGGAGCAGGGAGAGGGAGTCGGAACTGAGAGCTGGATCTTTGTGGGTCTGCAGAGCCCCAAGCGGCGGCAGAAGGCACGAGTGGGACTCCGAAGCCTCAATTCCTTGTAGCTGCTGGGCCGGCTGCGGGCATGGGTCCCCAGACTAACACCTACTAAGCTTAAGTCTGGATTTCTCTCTGCCTGCTTGGGCGCCCTGGACTGGGGGGTGCGGGGTGTTACCCAGGATACACAGACTCATAGTAAAGGTCTCCAGTGACCTCAGTCCTCCCCCGGGGGATGCTCTGGGATCCGTATTCGACCCGCGTTAACTTTTAATTTAAAGTCTCCAGTCAGAGCACAATAGACACAATGGACGTTTGACATATAAATATTAAAAATTAAATTTCCTGAGTTCATTATCTGATAATTAGAACTGAATAACATCTTAACTGAGAGACCAGCCCCACGCAGAGCAAGTCAGTTCCATTTAAGATTCCATTAGAGCGGTGTCGGAGCGGGTAAGTAATGGACCATAAAATTTAATTTGGAAATGATCTGGCTCCGTGATGGAGAGATACTGCCCACAAAGGGGGCGGGCGGCCCGGCCCGACCGGGCTCTGTGGCGAGACGGGCCGCATAAAAGAGGCGACCGCGCTATTGCCCAGGAGAACACATGTTCCTCGCTTTCCTCTCCTTTCTGCGGCCCTGCGGTATTTAAAAGTCAGAATTGACCAGTGTAGCTCCGTGTAATTACAAAGATTTCCTTATCGGAGTCTATTTGCAGGCGCCGCTGAAAGAAAAGCCCTAATCCATTGGCTGTCTCAGACCTCATTTGCATGCGCGGTAATCTCGAGACTCAGAAGCAGGTCGTCGGGATTCAATTGCATTTAGAGATTCTTTTCGCCTCCCCTCTCCGGGCCACTGGCACCCTGGCCGCCTCCGCCTTCCTGTGAATGGGCCTCCCAGGGGGCGTGGCAGGCAGCCCCAACAGCCTGCAAGGTTCTCACCGCTTCAAAACTCACTTCTAAGGAAGCTTCTAGAAACAGGACTGGGCTCACCTCTCCTAGAGTATCTGGGTGGCCATCACAAGTGGGAAGAAGAAAAAAAAAAAGACTAGATTGAAATTTGTCCCATTGGCTTTTGTGATAACGTTTTGGATCCCGGCTGTACTTAGCTGTGGATTAGAATTTGTTGGTTCACCCAACAACGAGATGGTCACAGCACCTTATGGGACTAGACATAGGAAGGGTTCCGGCACAGTAACTGCCCAGCCCTTCCCCCCTGGGAGGGTCACAGATACCAGGTTAGTAGGACTGGAGAGCTTTCCCTGCTCTGCTGGCCAGCTAGTTCACTGGAAACACCTGCCTCATCCTGCTCATTCATTCACCTCCTCCTAGGTCTTCCGCCCACGTCTGTGCCTTCCACCCTGCCACTGACCCTCCTGCATCCACCAGACCTCGACTCACAGCCCTGTGTCCACCCGCCTTGCCTTCTAGCTGGACACAATCCCATAGGGCCACCCACCCAGGAGTGAGGTGAGGAATGAACTGGAACAGTGGGCACTCCTGCGGTCTGAGAGGGTCCCAGGCTGCATCTTGGCCTGGGAGAGTTTCAGACCAAGAACTGACCAGACACACCTGCTGCTGGGATTTCTGGATATACAAGGAGATCCGACCCTGTTCATAGGCTGAGCCCCAACCCTGGTGACATTTGAAGGCCCTGACTCTGTCACACACAGAGCCCTGCCCTTTGGGCCGCATGTGGAGCCCTGACCTTCGTCACAGGCTGAGCCCTGAAAGTGGTCACATGCAGAGACTCACCACTAGGCACACATGGGGTCCTGACCCTAATCACACTCAGAGTCCTGGCCGTGATCACATTGAAGGCCTGACCCTGGTCACACTAGAAGCCCTGAACCTGGTCACACTAGGAGCCCTGACCCTGGTCACACTTGGAGCCCTGACCCTGCTCATACTTGGAACTCTGACCCTAGTCACACTTGGATCCCTGACCCTAGTCACACTAGGAGTCCTGACCCTGGTCACACTAGAAGCCCTGACCCTGGTCACACTAGAAGCCCTGACCCTGGTCACACTAGGAGCCCTGACCCTGGTCACACTAGGAGCCCTGACCCTGATCACACTAGAAGCCCTGACCCTGGTCACACTAGGAGCCGTGACCCTGGTCACACTAGAAGCCCTGACCCTGGTCACACTAGGAGCCCTGACCCTGGTCACACGAGGAGCCCTGACCTTGATCACACTAGAAGCCCTGACCCTGGTCACACTAGGAGCCGTGACCCTGGTCACACTAGAAGCCCTGACCCTGGTCACACTAGGAGTCCTGAACCTGGTCACACTAGGAGTCCTGACCCTGGTCACACTAGGAGCCCTGACCCTGATCACACTAGGAGCCCTGACCCTGGTCACACTAGAAGCCCTGACCCTGGTCACACTAGGAGCCCTGACCTTGATCACACTAGAAGCCCTGACCCTGGTCACACTAAGAGCCCTGACCCTGGTCACACTAGGAGTCCTGACCCTGGTCACACTAGGAGTCCTGACCCTGGTCACACTAGGAGCCGTGACCCTGGTCACAGTAGGAGTCCTGACCCTGGTCACACTAGGAGCTGTGACCCTGGTCACACTAGAAGCCCTGACCCTGGTCACACTAGGAGTCCTGACCCTGGTCACACTAGGAGTCCTGACCCTGGTCACACTAGGAGCCGTGACCCTGGTCACACTAGGAGCCGTGACCCTGGTCACACTAGAAGCCCTGACCCTGGTCACACTAGGAGCCCTGACCCTGGTCACACTAGGAGCCCTGACCTTGATCACACTAGGAGCCCTGACGCTGGTCACACTAGGAGCCGTGACCCTGGTCACACTAGAAGCCCTGACCCTGGTCACACTAGGAGCCGTGACCCTGGTCACACTAGGAGTCCTGACCCTGGTCACACTAGGAGCCGTGACCCTGGTCACACTAGGAGCCCTGACCTTGATCACACATGGGACTCCAATCCTGGTCACACATGGAGCCCGGACCCTAGTCACAGGAGGAGCCCTGATCCTTTGTGTTACCAGGAAGGTGTGTGGTTGCTCCTTGACAACCCATGCCCCTACCTATGTGCAGCACTGAGGGGCTAGGGAGGAGCCCCACCCCCTGAAGGGCACAGCAGGCCTGACGCAGTCACACAGGGGAATAATCCCCTTCCACACCCCAAAACTGCAGGCAGGACATTTGCTCTGCTATTCTGGTACCTGGACCTCAAGGCTGTCTAGTCTTTCCAAAATTGGCGACTGTCTTGCTCAGAGGAAGACGGAGATTCATCTGTTCCATTCACAGGGAAGCAAGATCTCATACCTGCCTCTCTGCCCCATTCAGATCCTGCCGCAGGTAGAAGTGCCATTCTATCCCAGAGAGAGCAGAGTGGTCAGGTCCACCCCACCTCCCAGTGACCCTGGGCTGTGGCTGAGACTTTGGCAAGCCACTGAACCGCTCTGACTCCCCTGGCTCTCTGCAGATGCAGGTGGACTGAAGTGTCTTTGCAAAAGCCTCCTTCTCTTTTCCCAACAATTACGGTGTTGGTGAAGAATTGTGAGTATACTAAGAATGGCCATAAGAACATACAAGTCTGTCTTGGAAGAAGTACAGCCAGAATCCTCCTCAGAAGCGAAGGTGGTGAGAGTTTGAGGGACAGTCCTTGGAGAAGGACACCATGCTTAGTAAAATGAAGGGTCAGCGAGAACGAGGAAGACCCTCCAAAATGGCTGCGGCATAGGCTCCAACAGAGCAATGATTGTGAGGAGGTCTCAGGACCGGCCAGTGTTTCCTTCAGCTGACTTTGGGTCACTGACAGTCACAGTTGGGACAACTACCAAGAACTGTTTCCAAGTTGAGAAAGCTGGAGGCTGAACATTGCAGTCACCACATGCTGCCGCCCCCTTCCCTGGGTCAGGTCCCTTCCATGGGGGTTGTCTTCTGCTCGGGTCCCTGCAAACACCTGTCCCCTAGATCAGCTGGAGTCACCTGCTAATGCTAAGAGCCTCCTCCCTCTTGGCTGCCGACCCACCACCAACTTCTATTCAGCCATCCTGACGTTCACGTCACTTTCATTTTGAAACAGGCCTCACCTCTGGGCTCTGCAGTTTGGAAAGTAAGCCATCTTCCCAGCGCTGGTCACATCCAGCCCTACCCGCGTGCTGATGGGCGGGGCTCGGAGCCTGTAGGCGTGGCCCCGAGCCCGCACAGAAACCTGGTAACTTCTGTCTCTGCTTTTCGGGTCCATGCAAAACCCAGGGCAGATACTGGGGTGAGCAGAAGCCAGTGAGCATCACACATGAGCTTTGCAAATAAATGCCCACTATTGCGGGGGCCTGCAGCATCGGATCACTGACTCCCAGTTGCCTCCTGGTGTTACGGGACAGGCACCTACCCGTGGGGGCGGGGGTCGCAGTCTCAGGGGATCTGCCTCCCACCCCTCAGTCGCACCCCCATCCCTCACCAGGCCGGCCCGGAAGTTCCCTGCCAGACGACTCCGCCCGCCGACCCCGGGAAGCGTCTGAAATTAATTCTTGTTCCCTCGGCGGGCTGGCGGGTGGGCAACCGCTAACCCCTGTGTGCTGGGCCTGGCGGGCTTTCTCTGAGCACCGACGCGGTGTCTTATCTAGAAAGCAGCCTCATTTGTTACTCGGCGTTGAATACACCCACTCCCATTCTCTCTGTAATTCTTGGCAATAATGGTCCTTCCCCTAATGAAACCTGCATTATTGGAAGGTTACAGTCCTGACCCGGTGGAGATTAGCTGTGTACTCTGTTATGAGTACATATGTAATTGTATAATTGATTTTAAAATTTACTTTTGTGTTCCCCACATCATAAAGTAAGCAGCCTATTAAGGGAGAGAAATATAATTAATATGTCTGGGACCTCTTCTATCCCGGGGGTGGGGTGGGGAGAAGAACATGAGGTGGGGGCTTGTGTCTTCAGGACTCTAGTTCAGCTCCCAGGAGGGGCTCTAGCACAGGCTAGCCCCGCACCATGTGGGGTCTCTCCTGGGGGGCCACCTTCTAGAAATCTACAGCCCTGAAGGCGCCTGGGTGTCCTGTGGGGTTGGAGCCAGGTGGGTATTGTGGGAGGGGGCTCAGAATTTGAGCAGGGTAGTGACTTGACCTTTACTCATCAGAGGTACACCTAAGGCCACACCCTCTAGCTGGCAGAGCCTACATTGGGTAGGGGTACCCAGGGCCTGTCCAGTGAGCTTCCCCTCCCCTCACCCGTGGCCCTGCCTCCTGTTAGAGCTGATCTGTCTGGAGGAGGGAACGAAGACTGATCTGTGCTCTGCTCTCTTTTTCTTCATCTCTGCTAAATCCATTTTGAGGTCATCCCTGAGGCTGGGACTTCGCAGGTGGGCAGGGCAGAAGTGAAGGTGAGATCCCTGCATAGGAAGCTGCTCAAAATCCCTGGAGGAGTCCCTGGGTGATACAAACATTTGAGAACTTCATCACTGGTCCAACGTTGGAGATTCAAACCCACCCAGAGGTGTCTCAGAAGAAAGACCTGGTAATCTGGTGCCAAAAAACCCCAGTCATCAAAAATTCTATGTAGCAATATGGAGTCTCCATGAAAAACCAAAAAACTTGGCAGCACAGTTGGAAGCCCCAGCAAGTCCCAGGCCAGTTTTCCCAGACACCACCCCGCCACCCTCTGTTCTTGCTCCCCAGGCCCCATCTTTATCTTGATGACCCCATTACAATTAAATTACACCCAATGAGCCTGTTCCAAATTCTCTCCTAGCTGAGCTCTGTGAGAAGGGCCCAGAACAAGTGCTCATCACCCACTCCTGACTAGGGCTTAGGTTCAGATAGGTGGGGTGAGGCTGGTCCTCCCAGGGTCTGAGGGTGATGATGGGCAGAGTTGGACCACAGCCAGGTCCTCAGGAGGAGTGGCAGCCTTGGGGAGGATGCCCACCTAGGTCTTAGCCAAGGGGTTCACACACTGCTCATAGGTTCTCTTTGACCTCTCTTCATTAATGCTCTGCCCAGGAGCAGCATACGTATTTTGCACATACACACGTGCACTGCACATGTAGGGGACCTGAGAGGGTGGTAGGTACCAGGAGCTGAGGACAGAGACGTGGCAGAACTGTAGGGAGACTATAGGGCACCGTAGAGATCCCTCACCTAGGGATACTCAGAGACAGCATGGACCCCCAAATGTAACTGAAGAGTGCAGGTGCTGGGCATTGTCTGAAGCACTATCTTGCTTCCTCTGGACAGCCAGCCCTGAGTCCAGCCAGCCAGCTAGAGTAACCCTCTTACAAGTCTGACCCCATGCAAACTCTCTGAAGATGGGGACCACAAGGGCCATCCATCAGCCTTTACAAACCTCTGCCTGGACTTCCAGGAAGATGCACTATACAGACCCTCTACAACAAAGACAATGGAGACCAAATAAAACAGACACAGAGGACAATTCTGGGACCCTCAGCTTCAGGGCAAAGGTTAGAGGAGTGGACTGAATACTTACAAGGAGGAGAAGCTGCGCATAGGCAGCAAAAGGAGAATGGCTGGTGGACAGACTGCTGGCCAGACACAGTGTGGACACCTTGAACTTTCGGAAGAAGTTTTGGAGAGACAGACAGACAGATGGTACCCTAATGGCGCAGAGTCACATGGGCAATGGAAAAGGTGCTCCCCACACTCCCCTGGATAACAGAGGTGAGGTCAGCCCCTACCTTCACCTACCCTCAGCCCAGAATGCCTCCCAGGAGTTTGCATAGTTTGAGGCAGAGTGAGGTGTGCGCCCACTGCACTGCCTTGGCCCCTGGATTCAGGCGGGTTGTGATCCAGGTCTGCAGAACCCACAGAGCCTGCAGGCCAGGATTAGACAAGTAGGAACCTTCATCATCAGCCACCCTGCCGACAGCTGCCCTCTGTTTCTGACAGAGACTGAAACTGGCATCCTGAAAGACCTCCATGAACTACTTTCTGATCGTGTGCTCTGACATAGACAACACCCAGATCTACAGGAACTCCACCTGGGACTGGGAACTCAGCCGTCACATCCCTCCTCTACCCAGAGTTTTCTCCTGGCCTCAAAGCTGCACTGGCTTTTGGTGGTTTCTTCTTTTACGTAGTTTCTGTTTGTTTATTCCTACTTTTCCTTCTTCCTCTCTTTCCTTTCCTTTCATGTGTATCTGTTCGGGCTCTGCTTTTGTTTTGTTTTTTTCCCTTTTCTTCTGTTATTCATTTCTATACTCTTCTTTTTTATCTGTTGATTTTTCTTTACTACTCTCTAGTCTCTTTCTCTTTTCATCTTCCCTCTCTGAGTTTTTAGTGTTTTGCTCTTCCTTTTATGTTCTTTCTTATTTTTCTCTTGCATGGTTCTATTTTCCCATCCCTCTTTTCTCTTTTTACTCATTATAGTCTTTTTTTCTTGTTGCTGCCCCCTCCCCTTTATAAAAAAGTTTTTGTTGTGAATTGAGCGAAAGTTTACAGGGCAGATCATCAGTTTTACATTCAACAAATCATATACTTTGTTTCATGTATCATCCGTTAACAGTATTTCTTACTATTCATTTTAGCTCTTCTTTTTTTTTTAAACACTCAGTCATATATAATAATTTAAACCACCAAAGGACACATTCTGCAAGCCTGTCTCTTGGCCACCAGTTCTCAGTCCCTCTCTTTCCATGAGTCTAGAGTCCTCAGCGGCTCCCTCTCTCCATGTCCTCATCTCTGACTCCATCTCTGGTATCACTGCTTCTCTGGATAGTTTCCCACATTCCGCTTGTGCTCTTCTCCCTTGATGTTCCTAGGGTCCTCTGTTTCTGGGTTGTAAGATTAACTACTCCCCTGTTTTTGTTACAAAACTTCTACCTTTACAGCTGTGACCGTCACAATTAGTCATGATAACAATTATTCACTATTGAATCATAAGAATCTTATCTCCATCTGTTTTTACCAGACCCATCTAGACAAGATGAAAACTATTCAGTGGGGACTCTATCTTCTCCCACATTCTTAAGCTGTCCATTCTTGTCTTTTAAAAAAATTCTTTCTTATATTCTGTTTTTACTCTTCTTTGCTTGTTTTCTTTTCCTGTGTGTATTTTCTCTCCTTGCCCCACCTGACTGGAGACAGCAACAGGGCCCATACAGCTCAGCCACAACCACACCCTCTAAAGCTCTACCCAGTGGGCAAGCGCCAACACCAGCTGCTATACCACCTGATCAATGATAAACATTAACCAACAGCAGTCAAGCCCACCCTAAACTGAGCTGCACAAACATCAAATGGAGCACATTGCTCATGGCTCCTTACTCTAACCACACCCACCAGGAGACAGTTGGTGAGAGGCTAAGAACACACCAACATGCAATCATCAATTAAATACAAATGTTGCTATCATTGTCAGGTGCTGTAGAGTCAGTTCTGACTCATAGCGACTTTATGCATGACAGAATGAAACACTGCCCAGTTCTGTACCATCCTCACAAGCATTGTTACACTTGAGCCCCTTGCTGCTGCCACTGTGCCTATCCACTTCATTGGGCTCTTACTTTTTTGTTGTTGTTGTTGACCCTCTACTTTACCAATCATGATGTCCTTCTTCAGGGACTGACCTCTCCAGATAATATGTCTGAAGTATAAGAGACAAAGTCTGACCATACTGACTTTTAAGGAATATTTTATCTGTACTTCTTCCAACACAGTTTTGTTTATTCTTCTGGAAGTTCATGGTACTTTTAATATTATCCTCAAACACAATAACTCAAATGCATCAATTCTTCTTGGTCTTCTTTATTCATTGTCCAACTTTCATATGTGGCTATTGAAAATATCCTGGCTAGGGTCAGGCACACCTTAGTCCTCAAACTGATATCTTTGCTCTTCAATACTTTAAAGAGGTGTTGTGCAACAGATTTACCTAATACAATATATCATTTGATTTCTTAACTGCTGCTTCATAAGTTTTGATAATGGATCCAAGCAAAATGATATCCTTTACAGCTCCAATCTTTTCTCCATATATCATGATGTTATTCATTGGTCCAGTGGTAACTACAACATCACAATGTCTTGGAAAAAAAACAGACAATTATAGCACATATGAAGAAACAACAGAGAATACCTCAAACAAATGACCAAGATGCAGAATCAGAAATGATTTCTGAAGAAGAAAAAGTAACAGAACTACCTGACAAATAATTCAAAAGAATGATATTTAAGTACCTTCAGTAGATTGACAGAAAGATTGGAGAAAGCAAGAACACAGAAAAAACTTTAGAAGAATTCAAGAGAGCACTGTAAGAACAAACACACAAAATAAACGCAAATACAAAAACAATACAAACCCTGAAAATAAAAATTCAGAAGATTAATACTAAGATATCAGAAACAGACAATACAATGAAAGGGCAAAAGGGTATATTTAAGCAATGGAAGCCCAAATTAGTGATCTTGAAGATAAAGTTCTCAATACTAGAAATCTAAAAGAACAATCTGAAAAAAGAATGAAAAAATAAGAAGAAAACCTGAGATTTATGTAGGACATCATGAATAGGAATAGCTTACCTGTTGATTGGAATTCCAGAACAGGAAGAGACAG